GTGTATACACCTTTATAATAAAAGATCCACTTCCTACTTGCTTATCTTTATTAAAATATTTTCATTTTCAAGAAACAAAATGAATCAATCAATGAAACAATTAAAGGCAAAACGTTTAGTCTTCAGTTTCAGATTTTTTTAAACTGAAAACAGACAAATCTCATAATAAATCACAGTACAAGACAGAAAGCCAAAAAACGTTGTTATCCTTCAAATAATCTCTAATCAATTCTTCTAACCTCATAAAAAATAATTATTAAGCTTACAACAGCAAATATTAAAGAATACACATACAAAATAAAAGCAAAAGTCCTATACCAAATCAGACTTTACATTTTTAAATAGTAGTTTATAATTAAAACGTTAAACCATGAAATGTAAAAATAATAAAGAGAATATGTATTATCTTTAACTGGCTACTAAAACACTGCAAATAACTTAAAAACTGACTTATTTCTAAATTGTTCTGTATTTTAGCTTGATACTAATAAATATTTAAAGTAATAGTACAAGATCCATTTATATTCATGCTACAAAAACACCACATTAAAATCTATTAAACTTTGACCAAATTTTAAGGAAATGGTTAGACATTCAAGGACTTTCTCTTCATGATGACTGTAGCTTTTCTGGGTCAGTTTGACAAATCTCTGCAGGCGTTTAAAATTTAACAATGTGTTAGGAATTAAAGTAGTTCTGACGTGCATGTAAGCAAATACACATGCACACATGGCCATTTGTGTGCGCTCTACAGAGCAGAATCACATTACATCGTGTTGATTGGCTGGAATTTAAACAGCACTCAAGCTAAACAGCCTGATAGTAGACCGGTCGGGGGGCCGCTTCTGTTGGACCGAAGCCAACGTGTTTGACGTCTTCTGGGAGGATTACAAAAAGCTCCTTTTTTCAACCAGATGACTTTTATTCCACTGAACAAGATGAGGTCTGCGCTGTTTCAATGTATCAGTGCGTAAATAATTATCTAAATTTGGCTTTTATTAGCTTGTTGTGGGGCTGTTTATGTTTGCTGGAAATCAGTGTTTCCACTTTTAAATTCATGGGAGGCAAATAACATGACAAGTCCAAGAGTTGATTTATGGGTTTTGTGAAAAAAAACCAGGAACTGGGAGGATGATTTCTTTAAATTCATCAAAATGCAAGTTTTTTTATTGTGGCTTTTGGAGGGAATGCCACTTTGGGCAAAGGAAGGATGAAGTTTTCCAGAGATGTTGAGCGAGGATTGAAATGTCCTGCAAGCATGATGCTGATGTTAAACTGAACAGACACAGAACATTGGAAACATTTGATGTTTGTTCTTGATAAACTAGATGAGACAAAGATGCTCATGATGTTGCAATGTTACTGCTAATGATTAAAAATATTGTAAACATGAAGCCACCAGGAACTGATTTATGCTGGGATCTATTTCTTTCTTTTTTTTTTTTGCTGGGACCTATTTCTAAAACCAAAGAAAGATTAAAAGTCCAAGTGTTTGGATGTACAAAGTCTCAAATGCACAGATCATGGACAAAGTGTTTTAAAGAGCTAAAACACAACATTCACCATATCATTCAGATTAATTGAAGTTTTACAGCACTGTGTGAAAATCTGTAGTCATGCATTTATTTACATTTTTCATTTCARGGAACTTTCTTGCATTTTTTAAAGCATTCTTGATCTTTAGTGCTCCAGACTAACTGGTTTCAAACCTTTGATCATTGGTCTGTTTGTTACCCATTTCAGTAAAGTACTTGTACTTGGAGGAGTATTTTTTTATTTCCTTATTCTGATCCATGAATTATTTTAAGCTGTTTCTAAACTTAATGAATGAGCCAGTTAAGMACTCATGTTAAATGTTTTTTAATTCTTTAATGACAGCTTGTCACAAAGACTCAATAAAAGACTGAAAATATTATTTTAGTATCAACAAGGTGTGGTGTGAAACTCAGTTACAGAAGGGGGGCCAAARTTCAAAACTTAGTCCAAGCCAAGGGCCAATTTCTGTTAAATGTGATGTAACAAATTATTCTTATAGAAATACAATTGACCTTTTTCATACTGTATATGCTACATAACATAGTGGACAATTAAAAGACACATCATTAACATTGATCTTTGTATTGCTAACTCTCTTTCAACAACTTTTTCATTTATTTTTGTTTAGAGATACATTTTATCACAATTCAGCAAATCAGGTACAAAAAGAAAAGCCTCACTAAAAATCCAAATATTTGACTAATTATGAAGAAAATACAGAAAAAGAAAATTAGAGTTGATTCTCTGTTGCTTTTTCCACAGTAAAATTAAAGATCACTTGATTTTCTTGGCTCAAAAGTTGGCAAACTGTCTTGAGTAGACTGCTCTAAACACAGAGACAAAAAGAGAAACCAGATTTTACATTTAAAATATAAATATTAAAAATTTTATATTATCTTTGGAGACAGATAAAATGCTGATGAGGGCCAGATTTGTCCCATGGGCCTTTAGTTTGACGTATGTGGTAAAGCACATAGCCCCATGCAGAACTGGGAATTTAACAAGACAAAATCTACAGYGTTCAAACTGYCTACAYAGCAGCATTTGTCWGGCCCAGTTCTGGCCCACACAGTGCACTAACATTAAGTCCAGGTACCACAAAGAATGACGGCCCTTTGGTRGCCAAGATGCCGTTTGCCAGAGGTGGTCCATGCATGGGCCAGCACCACATGAACCAAACCACAACTGGGCCAGTTGTGGCATGCCATCTTAAAAACAGTRCCGTCATTGCCAGACCTGGCCCACATGTGGCTGTTAAACCACTCTCTGTGCCAGCAGTCATCCAGCTTGACACGAGATCTGGCCCACACCTGTCTGCTATGTGGGCGCTCTTTCATGTGCATCCAGCTCCTCCTCTGGTTGTCTGGCCAATAAAGAGTTTAAAAAGGATCGAATATTGGTCCAGACTGCTTTTTTTTTTTACTTTAACCTAATTGAGAAACTATGGGCTCTTTTCAAATGTCAGATTTACAGTGAGGGAAGACAAAACACCTCTTAGAACAACATGTGGAGGCAGTTTTTTTATGCTTCAGTGGAAGTTGAGCTTGAACAAATAAAGAAACGGACAGACTGGGTAAAGGGGGGACTCATGGCTGGATCTGAAAAGAAGGACTGTTAAATTTAAACACATGTAAAACAAGAACTGATGATTTTAATGTCATTTAGGTTACTTATTTGCTACATTCTCTATTAAACTTAAAGTTAATATTAAACAAGGGAAAYGAAGTTGTTTAACAACACAGCACATCACTGTTACAAAAAAGCTCAATTTGACTCAATTTATATTTGTTAAATTTCATTCATACCCATCAAACTATTAAGATTTTCAGAATTGTTGGATTTTTATTCAAYTTTTTGAATAATGCTCAGTTTTTGTTTTAGGTGCATAAGTGAAACCRTTCAATATTCTGTTTGTTCCTCTGGGGAGGGGGGTATGAGTGAAATAATGAGTTAAGTGTTTCGAAAGGTTAAAAACAAAAGCACTTTTGTGAGATGTTTCTTAGGTCTCGGTTGTGCAGGAARCCCGTGTTCAGTGAAATCTCACAAACAATCAGACTTGGTCCTTTGGGGAAAGCTTTGGCTGAAATGCCTGCCAACTGTAGGTAATGCACAAAACAACCTCACAGAAAACTTCACCGGTGAAATTGCTGAGGTTTTGGAGCAGTTAAGATAAAGTGCGGTTAACATGTCGTTGGTGTCAGATCGTTTTGGGCGTGCTTGGTTTTACGGCCCAGACTCCGTTTAACAAGCTCTCCCCCATTTATTTTCTGCTTCTTCATCCATTTTCTTTCATAAATATAGTCCCTTTTTCTCAAACCCAGCTGTTAATGCTGAAGAACCACGTRAAACAGCTGTGGGACTTTCTCCTGGACCTCCCTGTAGCTCTGAAACTTCGCATGTACTCACAATACAAACACGCAGTTACTGACGCCGTCATTTGGCTGCTTTACTTCAACCTCAACGTCGATGAAATAATGGAAAAAAATGTTTTTTTTTTTTGAAAAACATACTGACGATTGCTGCTTTAAAACACATGGCAGCTTGTCTTAGACGTTTATCCAGGTGACCCACATTTCCCTCAGCACACACAGGCAGCCCCCTGAGCCCAGCCGTTGTGTGGACTAATGTCTGGAGAACTGACGTTGCTGCTGACACCACGATTATTTGGCTGCGCTTTTCAGCCAAACCTGCTGCCGGTGCCAGACGCGAGTCAGCAGGGAGCGACAGCCTCCTGGCTTCTTGTTCTGGGCGTTGGTGCGCATTAAGATGCAGAGACAAACTTGCTCCGAGGACACAGATACAGTCTGGGTTACGTGCTCTGGAAGAGACAAATACGTCTGAAGTTTGCACGTTTTTCAGGGAAAACCCGTAATACCATCAGCACCACCTCTATCTGCCCAGCAGTGGCTCAAAATTACACAGGAATAAGAGTCACACATAATAAAACCTCATTGCTTTCTGGAAACTTTTCCTCATCATGGAGCCATGAAGACNCACAGACACACACACATACACACACACACAGACACACACACACACAGAGATACACACACACACACACACACAGATACACACACACACAGACACACACACATACACACACACACACACACACACACACACACACACACACACCCCCACACACACACACACACCTCACAATAATAGAACTTGATCTCGTCATTAAACACTGACAGGGGCCCTGTTCTCTCAGACCTCTGTAAAAAAATCCCCTTGGTTTCACACTATGGATGTTTATTTTACATACAACTTTAAAACTGTTATCATTTAACTTTATAAGTAGTAAATATGCTTTATTCTTTTTTTCTCCTCAATTTGTAAAAAATATGTTTTTTTCGACTTCAAGTTTTTTATTCTACCTTACTCTGTAAACCAGGGGTTTTCAACGTTGATTCACATCAAAGAAAAATTAAAACACCCATACTGTCATGCACAATATTGTGTTAGATGGGCATATGATACCACATYATATCAACCACAGATTGTGAAGTGAATGTAACTGAAGTCGTACCATGACAGACTTTGTCATATCGAGCAACATTGTGTCATCATTCAAACAAATCGATATATCATACAGTGATAAAGCTGGTGATTTACATCCCCTAGTGTTGGCATGATAAGAAAAACTGTTCACCAATCAAGCCGTAACATTATAACCACCAGCTCACCGTTGATGATTTTTCCCTTTTAGCTTCAAAAACTTCTGACCTCTGGAGGCATAAATCAAGAACATCTGTAGATGTCTTGTAGTGATGCTAGCAACGCATCTTTCGGATTTCAAAGTTTTAGAGGCCGTCGAGACCCAGTGTTTATCTCTGACTTGTCTGATAAGTGGTGTTTGCAGGACTCACTGCTGTCCTTGCAGGGGATTGAAGATAAGTGAGGTGGGGCTGTTACCCAGATTTTTCCAGTTGTTACCCATCATGTAAAAGTGACATCATTCCCCTTCGGCAAGCTGCAGATTCATTTAGTTTACTTAAAAGCTGTGTAATAACCTCGTGCTTCTGTGGTTTTCTAAACAAAGAGCCTTCAAACAAACRAAGGTCAACAGATGTGGTTTGTAACGGGATGAAGTAAGGTGTTTATGATGCGACTGCGTGTTTCAGATATYGACGAATGCAGCACCATTCCTGGCGTGTGCGATGGAGGAGAATGCACCAACACCGCTGGAAGCTACGTCTGCACCTGTCCCAGAGGCTACGTCTCCACCACAGATGGATCCAGATGTGTGGGTGAGTCACCCAGAATTATACTTTTTGTTGTTGTTGTTGTTGCTCTCGGCTGTGCATTTCTTCAGCTTCGCATCTGGCTGGTTAGATTCGCCTTGATCCCCTGCTTCCTGTGACTAGCGCTGTGATGAGTGAAGCCGACCTGCAGACCTGTGGTCACCATGTGCGAACACACTTGCACGCACTGTTTGGCCTTGACAGCATTAATCTACTCCAATGTTAGCGCTCCTCTGACTCACACACGGCACATACCTCACTGACATGTCCACCGAAACACTGCCAGGTGTTAATGTATTCCTGCAGCGCTCACCCAACATGGCAGCTACAGTGAAACAGAGCCAAAAAGCAGCTATTTTAATTCACTAGACTCTCTTTTTACCCTTTTCAGATTTGTGGAAGACAGACTGACTCTCTCCTAATAAAAAACTCAGCAGTCAGGACTGCTGCAATTGAAGAGACATGTTTGTTTTCGTTCACTACATTTTGARGACTATATGCCAAATTTTTGAGTTTTTATGGAAAATAGGTGGGTTTTTGTTTTGGAAAATGTGAACCAGGATTTGTGTTGAATTTATCAAAGATGCCCAAATCACGGGTGCCCACATGTGAAACAGTGAGAGATGATCTCACTKGTTGCATATGAGGCTATCAGCGGTGAACTGATCACTTTCAAGCATCTGCTGCTTAAAGGAAGACAAAAAAATTGTCTGGGTCAAAACTTTGTAATTTAATAAACATTCTTTTCTCTGAGAGCATTTTGGAGACCGGCTGCTGGGATTCACAGCTTAAACTTGAGCTGTAAATTTAAGCTTTTGTTTACAGAGTTGAAGAGTGACGTTAGTCATTAATTGTGACAAATTTGTTGTGGTGATGAGGATAAAAAGGAAACAAAAAAACTAAAGTGTCTCTTTTGCTCATTTGTGTGGAAAGGAACATACAAAGCAAAAGAAAATGTCACTAAATCACACCCTTCCATGTTAATATTTTTTGTTTTTCTTAATATGTAGATTTTTCTAAGCATTGCCTTGCTAGCATTTCAATCATAAAGTAAAAACACCCAAATGTTCACAGCAAATTTGTGCACTTTTCCATCTTTTTGTTTTTATTTTCAATTTATCTCCAAAATCGAAACACTTTTTTGTGAATTTCTTGTACTTGCCAATAAGTAGTTGTAATTTCATCTTTCAAATTTAAATCATAAATATTCAAATTTAGGAGAAAACGGATTTAAAAACATTCAGAAAACTGAGTAGTCACATTTTGGTGAGTTTAATAAAAACAATAATACATTTTATTTAATAAGCGCCTTTCAGGACACTGTACAGTAAGAAACATACATCAGTGAAAGTTGTGTAAAACAAGGAATGTAGGTGTGTAACAATGTGCTGCTCTATTTAAATATACTGATTAAATAATTAATTCAGTTGCATCAAGACAAAATGAAAACWTTGATCCATATCATCATCATATTCCCAATGTGGATCGATATATCAAGTGCAGAATTGTAAATTGAATTGAATCAAAATCATATCACGACTTGGGGATATTGAGAAATATCATATTGTTATCACATTGTTATCACAAATTGATATACTGTATTGTATTGGCTGTGTGTCAATTCATGGGTTGCAGCTGACATTGGCCGCATTTGTTGGCTGCTTCCGTCACTGCCCCGCACTGTAGGCTGTCCCAATTTGTAGGCGCCTACTCATGCGGCTGACAAAATCCTGCAAACGCAGGCTGCATCTGAGTATCCTACGCAGCTGACGTTATCCCAGAATTCATTGCATCGTCAGCAAATTAAACAGAAAAACAAGGTGTAGTTTTTTTTTTGTTTGTTTTTTTACTGCGGGGGTTGGAAATTTATCATGGACCGAAGAAAGTAAGAGCAACTTAGCTAATGAAGCATATGTTGCAATGAGATGTTAGTAGTTTAGCAATGACAGAGGAGGAAGTGAATGACATCATTCAGTCCAAGGGGCTGATTATTACCAGGCTACCAATAACCCCAAAAACCCAACTTCATACAATTTTCTAATTCCGTTTATTATAAACGGATTTAGAAAATTGTACAAAGTTGGGTTTTTTAAGTAATAACAACTCGGAATAAAATAGGAGTAMCGACTTTCTACTTCTTACCTTTTTAAAAAAATGTAGTGAGTAGAAAGCACAGATAATTGTGTAAAAATGTGATGAGTAAAAGTAAAAAGTACGCTGAAAAATAATTACTCAAGTAAAGTACAGATAACCAAAATTTCTACTTAAGTACAGTAACGAAGGATTTGTACTTAGTTACTTTACAACTCTGCGTTTATACCTCCATCACACATCGCAAAATACAGTATGTCCTACGTGCACAAACACTCATACGAGTTGGGCTGGCCTCGACGACACACATTATCTATCCGCAACCTCGGCTAGCTCGCAGACATCATCCTTATCAAACAATATTCTCAACATTAGTAGTAAGTTCTTCCTATGACATTTCACTTCATCAGCATTTAAAAAAGAGAGACTAAATAACCTATTTGCTTATTGATGAATGCCATTTTTGGTTCCCAATCTTCTGTGAGCTGTTTTGTTGTTTTCAAAACAAAGCAAATAAATCAGACTGGTTTCAGGCTCTGTTTTGTGTTCTGGAACTTTGTTCTGGTTTTGAGGGTTTACTGTGTCCTGTGCTTTGTGACATGAGCTGCTCTGTGGTGAAGTAATGTTTGTGTGTGTTGGGGGAGGGGACCTGACAGTAATCAGCATCTGATTACCYCGTCACATGGTGGAAACTTGAAAGAAAGACCTGTTCAGTCAGTCGACCTGAAGAAAACACCTCATCCGATGAAAGCGTGCACAGCGGTGCACGGATGGCGAATCAGCTGCAGTCTGGATCTAATTTAAGTCTTCGTCATCTTCATCMGCAACCTCCCCCCCTCCCCCTTGTGTTTCCTTTATCATCTTCCWTGCCTCCAGCTTTGTCACTCCTATGGGACGTTTTGTGGTTTGTGTACATGTATGGGACTGTATATGTTAGAGTGCTGCTGCTGCTCAGCCCCTCGTGTTCGATCTAATTGGCAGGAATTGGCCCACATGGAACTGATTAATTCCAGACTGCTGGCTCATTAGTGACTAAAGCGGTTTGGGCCCCTCCTTCCACCCACTTCACTTTCCTTTTCTCCGTGCTTCCTTTTACTTTCTGGAGGGGAACTCACTTTCCAAAAACCATACTCACAGGTTCCCTGCTGCTCAAGGTCTCCTTTCACTTATTCAGTTTTGAACCCCAGCTCCCTCTAATGTCTCTTTGACCCTGATCTGGACAACTGTAWCAAATATGAGCTCTTCTTTTGGGATACTGTCCTGATGCTGGTCTGTAGGTGAGGTTACCCCTGTAGGTTGCTGCAAGCCCATACAAACCCTCCTCAAGCACCAAGGGAAGATGAGGCCGGTCATCTGACTAACTGATTCTTTGAGTTTCAGTCAGCAGTTCCTTTAAAAAAAGGCTTTCAACTGAATAGATCTGTTTAAACTTTCATGATCCTGGAAAACTCCCTCTTTGACGATATTCACTAAAGCAGAGGTTCCCAAACTTTTTGTCTTCTGACCCACAAAATATTCATGGCAAAAACTTGTGACCCCAATTATTATTGGTCTGAGTACACGAACTCTGTTTGTAACCCTAAAAACACAGGCTTTTTGACAATCTTAACAGCTGGTACACACATACTGTATAAATAACTTATTTTTACTTATTTTGTGTTTTGTAATAATTGTAAGAGAAATAT